ACTAAGTGCACTCAAAAAGCCTCATTTCCCTGCAGTCTTGAGGGAGTGTTTTATATTAGCTGCTGCGACTGGTTGATGGAGCTCAATCTGATCGGACTGTGAGCAATCAAGGGGCCGTTCACACAGAATGCGTCTTTGTGTCTAAAAACACAACACGCATCGCTCAGGAATGTTTTTTTTAAAAAGCGCAGCACAGAACGCTAGGGTCTGGAGACGCGCTTTTGAGACGTGATGCAATAACGGAGATATTTATCTCCAGGCTTCTTTTTTTTTCTTCTTTTTTTTAAGAAACGGGTTGTGATAATCGCTTGAAGAAATGTTAGACCTATATAATTCAAGGTATCCTCCTGACTCAGCCATTAAGAGTGTCTCTTCCGCCAAATTGCCATCAAATAAAAAAAAATTCCATGCCAACTTACTGTAAACAAAAGCTTGCTATGCTTGCCCTGCCTCCGGGGTCTTCTGATTGGTCCACTCTTTTGGGACTGACACTGACAAGCGGAGCTGCGTGTAAAAGTTGAAATCCTTTTAACTTAACACTACGTCTTAAAAACTAGTGATGCACGATCATGATTTTTCATAGCCGATTCCGATACCGATTTTTTACAAGCAAACTGGCCGATTCCGATACCGATTTTTTTTTATTTAATTTTTTTATCAAGCAACAAACAAGAAAAAATAAAAGTACACACAAACAAGATGTTTATTTGGTATTTAACAGGCTAAACTGGGTTTTGGCTATTGAAAACAGCAACTGTAACTATCTGAAATTAACAGCAGTAACTGCGCAGTAAGTAGGCTACATTCAATACAAACATAGGTAGGCCTACTGACAAAAGCATTTAGCTTTTGTTTTTAAATTGGGTTGAAACTATAAACTGGCCTTAAATGAAAACATTAACTGTAACCATGTAATTTTAAAGGCAACAACTGCATAGTTCCACAATCCAAACACATTCAACACTCCAAACAAAGATGTTACTTAATCAGCATTCAGCATTTGTTTTCGTTTCTAAATTTGGTGTAAAGAAAAAAAGATCTTTACCAGTGGACTAGTGATGCACGATCATGATTTTTCATAGCCGATTCCGATACCGATTTTTTACAAGCAAACTGGCCGATTCCGATACCGATTTTTTACAAGCAAACTGGCCGATTCCGATACCGATTTTTTTTTATTTAATTTTTTTATCAAGCAACAAACAAGAAAGAATAAAAGTACACACAAACAAGATGTTTATTTGGTATTTAACAGGCTAAACTGGGTTTTGGCTATTGAAAACAACAACTGTAACTATCTGAAATTAACAGCAGTAACTGCGCAGTAAGTAGGCTACATTCAATACAAACATAGGTAGGCCTACTGACAAAAGCATTTAGCTTTTGTTTTTAAATTGGGTTGAAACTATAAACTGGCCTTAAATGAAAACATTAACTGTAACCATGTAATTTTAAAGGCAACAACTGCATAGTTCCACAATCCAAACACATTCAACACTCCAAACAAAGATGTTACTTAATCAGCATTCAGCATTTGTTTTCGTTTCTAAATTTGGTGTAAAGAAAAAAAGATCTTTACCAGTGAAACTAAATAAAACCAAAGTAGGCTATATAAATAAATTATTCCAAAATGTTAACTACGGCAGGTGCTTTTTAAATCACATTAAGTCAATGTAATTTTAAGGTAAAATAAAAAATATTAATCCTATAGCCTACAGAACTGACGTTTACTTCTGGCTTTTCAAAAGTGCATGCGAGTTCTTCTTTACAAAAAGAAGCATTTCAGCTTTGTCACAAGTTAGTCTGTTTCGTTTCTCATCCAACACGTGAGAAGCTGAGCTGAACAAACGTTCACTGTCTACGCTTGTGCAGGGCGCGGACAGGTAACGTTACACTCGCGCAACTTCAGCGAGTGCAGGAAAGCGGCTCTTATTTGTGCGCCAGTACACCAACGGCTGTTCGCTTCTTGGTATCTGTGCCTCAGACAGGTAGCTCTGCATTTCCATCGTGCATCGCCAACAGTTAGCTTGCTCTGCGTGGTATTTTTTCTGCTGGCGCCTCGGTGCACACTTCCGGAAAAATCGGACGAAAAAAAAACAAAAAAACGTCCAGTTCCGATTTATGGCCGGTCAACCGGTGCATCCCTATTAAAAACGTGGCGCTTGTGTGAAACGCTGCAAAAGACGTGAGCGCAACGGTCATACATGTTCATATAGCGTAGCGCGTTTACGTAGGAAAACAATGGAAAAGTAGCACATTTTAATGGAAAAACGCATTCTGTGTGAACAGCCCTTTAGTGGCAAACTCTTTAGTTTTTGTAGTCAGAAGTTTGGCAACAGTAACTTAAACCTAAACTTTGTCAGATGTCTGCTGTTACTGTTATGCCGTATTTGTGAGTAAACCGTGGATGATCATCACAGTTTGCAAACTTTCAATTAACCAAAAACTTTTGGAATTTAACTAAGCACTTAGTGCAGCATTAGTGTTTGTGTGGTAATTCTTGGGCTTTGTTTTGGTATTGCTTACATATTAGATACTGCAGATGTAGACTGGATTAAAGACGTTTTGCTGAATCGCCAGAAGGCGTTCTCATGGAGAATGAACCATTGGAAATCTTTTAAAGCAGACTTTAGTTTAATTCGATTGCCTGAGGAGAAGATGAAAGACTCATGATGCACTCTTAGCTGAATCGTTCAGTCGTTTATGTATTGGTTTATATTTATAGCTCATTTCAGTGATGGTGGTCGTGATTGTTCTGCAGCTTATTAGATGATAGCAAGCGTGGAAGGACGGCATCCAATCTTGTAATTATCATAGAGTCATCAACACAGCACGTCATCTCTACTCTAATCAGCAGTGCTCTGCTGTGTTTGTATGTTTATATATGCAAAAGATGTGCAAAAACAAACAAGCAGAATCCACATTTGCATTTTACAATAATTTTTATTATGTATTTATTATATTTTATTATTTATAATTTTATTATTTTTATTATAATTTAAAATGTGCTAATATTGCACGGTTTTGAAAGCCTGGCAGTCAGTATAGCTACATTAATGTAAACATAACACCGCTTTATTCCTGAAATATGCATGAATTTCAACCTATTATTAAATACAATTTTATATTCAGTCTTTCAAGTCATGTAAAGAATTAGTAAATAGTTTAAGGGAATTAAATATCTGCAAAGATTACCAGAAGAGACATGGAAGATGTGATGTGACTCTCTGTGAATCATTGTTTACATGCAGCTCCTGTTACAAAAATTGGGGTGATTTTAGGTTTCATTTGTATTAAAGAAATTCAGTACAAATATTGAAGAATGCTTAAAGCACTGAAACACAAGCTTTACATTTCCTTGTCAACTCTCAGGCCTGCAGAGCTTACATTGTGATTGTGTTTACTGTAAACATGCTTCCCGTTTATTTATACACACAGAGGGACGAGTCGAAAAATTATTGTCATAATGAAATTATTGGTAATCAAATGCATGCACAGCTGGTTTACATAAACATTAGGGTGAAAATAACCCAGAATTGTCCTTACAATGTGAAATTAATGGACAAAAAAGAAATACAAATAATTGCTTTAGTATTATAATATTTATTATTATTATATTGGTATAAATGTTATCAATTTTTTCATAATTAAATGTGTATTTAAGTAGTGTTGTGAGTAGTAATAAGTAGGAATAATTGTTGTTATTACTACTAATACAAATTTTCATGATGCATATGTATTTACATTTATAATAAGAGATGAATAAACAATTAAACATTGGTTCCACGTTTTGTTGTTGGATCTGTAGCAGTCATACAAGCAATAGAGCACAGAATTACTTGTCAGGAAAAAAAAAAAACTTTTTTAAAAATGTTATTTTCTCTGAGATATAGATATGTTAGCAATGCTTTTTTGCACTTAAACAGTCAGCATGTAGTAATACGTCATGCATTCATTCAGAATTGCTTTTGGTGCTTCCTTTGCTTTAAGATTTCCATTGCCTATTTTTATGTAATGGTTAATATGTTTGCATAACAAATGACACTGTAGTATCACCGCAATGCAAATGCAAGTGAAATGCTCACGCTGTAGAGCCTGGTATTTTAGTTTAGCCTTAAACCATCTTGCGCACTGTGTGTGTGTGTGTGTGTCTCACATCAAAACAGTAAGTCTGAATGTAGTCATATGACTGTGGCCAATGCTTAAAACGTCTAGACCGCTTGGTTCTTTGAGTGTGAGTGTGTGTGTGTTCATGTTCTACACAAAGACCCTACTGAGAGCGCTCAAGAATCATGTACACGCACTTCTCTCAGTCTCCCCAAAGACTCAGTGAGGACAGATTTGTTTCACTCGCTTACATTGTTCAAACTCTTCCTTGTCCAGACTCTGTCACAAAACCTGCCTATTAAGGCATCGTAGGAGCAATTGCTCTTCCAAACATAGATAATGAGACGAGCTGGATTCAGACTAATGGCGCTTTTCCACTGCATGGTACGGCTCGGTACGGTTCACTTTTGGGAGTGTTTCCACTGGGTACAGTACCTGGTACTTTTTTTAGTACCACCTCGGTTGAGTTTCCAAGTGAACCGTACCGTTACCAAAACGTGATGTGTAAATGCTGCTGATCACGGATTGGCCGGAGAGAATCGTCACTACCTGCGTCACTGAACTTGCGACACAAACACAACAGAACCGCTAGATTTAAATCGGCACAGCCAGCGAAGGATCGAACGCAACTGTTGTGAACGAGCGCACCTTTTTAACAACCAAAAAGTGTCTGTTTCGTTGTCTGTTGAGGAAGTACAGACGTTCCTCTCGTTGATTGCCGAGGAGCGGATCCAGCGAGAGCTTGATGGGGCGACGCGGAATGAAAAAGTTTGTGTGCGCAGTGGAAAAGTGCCATTAGAGAACTGGCTGCATCCAATCAACTGTTGCATATGCTGTGTAGTATGTCTCTGTATGACCTTTGACCTTGTCTTTGTGTGATTTTGTCTCTGCAGCCCAGAATGTGACGGTGGAGGAGATCCTGAATGCCTACAGACAGGCATGCCAGAAGCTCAACTGCAAACCAATCCCTAAAGTGTTCAAACAGATACAGGTAACATGCATTTATTCATTCAAGACTAGTGATGCAACACAAATATTCAAATGAGACCGTTTTGGAGGGCCGGAATCATTGACTTGATGTTTAATTGGCGTTTTGACTGTGTTAGCGACTGTTTTCTGCACACAACGTGGATATGCTACAACAGGTAAATGTGTCAGCTGTGTCGAGGATTGGACTGATTGACAATATCGATTTCTCTATGTAAATCCGTCTTCATTTTAATGAACTGAGGTCTTTGTCTGTACTGGTTTCCATTAATGCATGAACAAAACTTATAAGCTTTGGACTTTGTTACTATTGATATGAAAGTCTGGGCTCTCAATAAAGCAATAAGCCGTGGTTTACAGTGAATTTATCACTTATTTCAACAAATTGGAGTGGAAATATAATTATATTCATATAATTATATTGTAATTGAATATAATAATAATAATTAAGTGCAATTTTAATGTTAATATACAACTCAGTTTTTATTTGAGTGTTGATTATTAAGTAATTTTAATGAATTAGTTAATTATTTGAAAAATACTTTAGTTTCAGTTGAAGTTTTCAGCTAAATAAAAACTTTTCGTTTCAGTAAAAATTTCAATGCATCACTATTCAAGACCTTGAAGTTCCGCTTGAGGTCATAAAGTGTTAAATTCACACTCGCAGAAGAAAAGGGAAGCCTGATTGCGCACATTAGTAACCTCTATTGTATCCTCATTTGGCCTGTTGCACTGGATTACATCTGTGCTCTGTTCACAAACGTATAACCTCACCAACCTCTGGCGTCCGTACAGTCACGTGCCTCCTGACTCGCTCTGCCTGCATCACTCTTACTGAAAGCCTCTTATAGACACAGTGCTGTAAACATACCATACTGAGTCAACAAACGGTCACGGCTTCCTGTCCTGATGACACACGCACGCACACACACACACGCACACACATGCACACGCACACACACGCACACGCACACACACACATTCAGAGTCAAATTCCCAAACATCAGGGATTTGCATATAGCGTTTTATTGGTTTGATTGGAGCTCAACATGAACGTGCCTGTTTTCTGTCAGTGAACATTTAACTACATGACTTCCTAAAACAAATATAGCAATTATGTGTTCTAATCACTAATGCTATGATTTTCAAAGGGTCAAATTGGTCACATACACAATAGCACAAAGCACAGTTACATAAGAGTCTTAATGGCTCGGCACCAAAATCAGCCTGCAAAGTATCAGAAAGAGGGAGGGAACAAACCTTCACTAGTATTATAAACCTTTGATGTCTATGATAATTCATTGTACTTTAAAATGCTTTAAAGCTACAATGAAACCGTAGTAGCGACAAAACTTTTACAACATATTGTGACGTATATCAAAAGTGAACCGGATTATTAAAAATAAATAAAAATGTTGGGTGTAAATTTGGTATTGTAGATGATCAATAAGTTTTAAATAATGAGTGAATGCACAAAAGATTCAGTTTTAAATGTTACTGTGTTATTACCATGTTATTGCTACATTTACCCATTTGTATTAATTTTACACTTTTTTTTTAAATATGAATGAAAAAACTTTTATTTGAATATATTTAATTATGGCTAAGCAGGGTGAAACATCTGCTTGCTCGTGTCCATTTGTTTTTAACTCGCATGCACTCTGCACTTTTTGCACAATGCAATTTATATTTAAAACAATGCTTTTGTAGACTTTTCCAGTCTGTATTGGATTCGGTGTGCGGCTAGCCACCTTCTTGTTCATATTAAATTTATTAGAACATGTAATCTGATAATTAATGGTATCAACTCTAATTGAAATCAGTTGATTTAATTCACTTCCTTTGAACTTATAACTCATGGCTGCCCAAAAATAGTCCACATTTATGAAACCTACACATTCAAAAACATAAATAGTACTCTGAAGACTTTCATAACTTTCACATTAGGGTGGAAAATATTTCATACATTTTTCATGTTTATTAACAAAATTCAGTCTCAAATAAAGTCTCTATAACATTGTGTAACGCCTCAAATAATACCTGACTCAAAATGGACCTGAACGCAAAATGTTACTTTTTTTAATGGTTATATCTCTTCAAAACCTCAAAACTATGCATATTTTGTTAGTCATGACTTGCTTACAAAATGCATTTTGTAGAAATGAAGCATTTCATCCATGTCCTAACAAACAAAAATGCATGATGAGGGTTAGATGATAGACAGGGTTACATTTTCATTTCATGCCGACTTTAAAAAAAAAATGCATGAAAGAGTTCAGGTGAGACTCGGCAGGTGTTATAATGAGACCGGAGTGAAGCAGATCAGTTTCTCCCGTCACTGAAAGCAGACAGACAGAGAGAAACCATGTTATCGTGGCCTGATGTTTGCGCAGAGATGCCAGCTAACACCCACAATCCCTCACCAACCAGCACATGCTGCCGCTCTCCTCTCCTCTTTCCCTCCGTTCGCATGTCCTGCTCTTTTGTGTTTCCCATCTGTCACTTTTCTATTTTTCTCTGAAAGTGTAGATGTTTTTGTGTAATGTGTTTTTGTGCGGTATGTGTAACTTGTAGTTGTCCAGAAAGGCATCAGTCTGTTAAACCGTTCCAAGGGCATGATGGTAAATTTCCACTGGGAGTCCCCAGGGCAGAAAGTAGCCGGTCATTACTGTGTGCGTGTGTACGTATGTGTTTTTCCACCTCCTCAGTCTGCGCTTGTGTTCCTCTCCTAATTGCTTAGTCACTCTTGGAAAAATGACTTCACAAACAGGCCTGTAAAATAAATGCACTGAAAAAGGAGAGAGAAAGAGAGCTACTTAGATTAATGCTCCTTTTATGTTCATTTACTCTGCATAGATTATATATATATATATATATATATATATATA